TATAGTGTGCTTTACTTAAAAAAAAGTGTTTGTTTAAACCAAAAAAATATAATTGTTATATCTTATTTTTATGAGGCCTAAGTAACTATTTAATGTAGTTGAGATGGTATTTCACTATCAATTAATGATATACAAATGCCATAATTACAGGTATCTTGACAGTGTTGAGTAGGAAATTGGTAGCTGTTACCTATGAAACTAATTATAGATACTACAATTACTAATGTTGCAAAAAAATAATTGCCACAAAAAAATTTAATTGCACAATAAAAAAAAATAACGATATTCGCCGATATTGCTGTAGTAAAGCAATAATTGCTTCAATCCTATTTCTATCTAAACGCGCCTGTCCGAATAATAAACGTTGTTCGTGAAGGACACATAAAAAAAGAATTCGTTTTTGGGGAGAAAACGAGAAAACGATAAATTTTCGGAAGGTGCGATAGCAGCGAGCTAGGAAGCAGGCCTGTTATTGCACTGGCTGTTATCGAATGATAAGAACGTAAACAGGAATGAATGTCTCCCATTCATAAATCAGAGACGAATAGAGCGTGGATATGTCACTTGGAGGAATGTCGTGCGTAATTGTCGCGATGATTCCGTTTAAACAGAGTTGTATTTATTCGCCTCGGGACAATTACCGTCTTAAAAGGTAATAACGAATAAGCTATTTTACACGCTATTCGCCTGCATCAACTTAATCTATCCGATTAGCTTTTTTTTTCTTTCTTTTCACGAGAAGACTACGCTCTCATGTATCTGCTTTGTGTCTTTCTCTTCTCTGGAATAGAAGAATGTATTCGAGCGTGGGTGTCTAACATGAAGTATCATTGAAACAGAGCTTACAGTTGTTGGTTTGCGACGCGCGATGACATCGTACCCACGGGATCCTCAGCTCGTGACAACCCCATTCAGTTTGTCTGTGTAACTCACGTATCAAACTCGTACAATAAATTGTAAAAGGAGAAGGTCGCGCGGAAAAGATGCGCAGTGTTTCTATGCGCTTCGAAGCGAATCGTTGGCCGGAATAATCAGGTTCTCGCAAGGCAGGATGCGAGGAATAAAGACGGTTCGAGAATCTTATCCGTAACGTAGAAATTCAAAGCTTGTCCCGTCAGAGGCATCAGAACATGAGAGATTTCGCGAGGGTGCAGAAAAATATATACGTATGATGTACTTACTCTTTAAATCTCTTTGAATGAATAGTGAAATATCACTTCAAAAGACTGAAAATTGTGCCAATTTTTAAAAAGGAATGAAAATATTTTCATCCTGGGTAGCGATCGTGTAACTTTTTCCCTAGAACGGAAACGTGAAAAGTGAAAATTTTTGTACGTATATGTGTACGTACATACATATATAAAAATTTTTCACTTTTCACGTTTTCGCTGAAAAAAAGAGTAAAAATCTGCCACTTTTTTTTCAAGGGTGAAAATATTTTTATTGTTTTTCAAAGACTAACTTAATTTTCAATCTTTAAGAGTGAGACTTCACTCTTCAGAGAGAGACTTCACCTCGAGAGTAAGATTGACTCTATAAGTTTTAGAGAGTATATTGCGTTGCACCTCGCGCGCGACGAATGAGATAAATGTAATATACAATATGATTCATCGCACGGCTGATTGGGACGATTCACGAAGTTTAATCCCTTACGCCCGTGTCACACTACGCATTGAAGATTAAGGATTGCGAATTGAGGATTAGAATTCAGCCAATCAGAATAAAACGGATTAAAATTAAAATTATCTGATTGGTCGAATTTTAATCTTTAATTCGCAATCCTCAATTTCCAATGCGTAATGTGACACGGGCATTAGGTCAGGCCGATCAAGCCGTGAATAAATAAATTCGCGAGTATGAGAGATTGCGTCCGACTACAAGTGCATGGAGAATCGCGAGGATTGTATAATGCACGTTCTCAGAAACGTAGGGTTGTAAATCCAAGAATCGCGAATCGATATATCAGTCGCGCTCACCTAATCTACTGTCCGATTATCGTTCACGATCGCGCGCTACAAAGTGCAACATATATACGGTGACTATCATTATCATACATGTATTCCTAATAGAAAAAAAAATAGATACAGTTAGGTGATGATAAGAGAAACGCGATCGGTAATGCGAGATTTAAAGAATAACAGAAATAAACGCAGTACAAGAAATAAAGAATGAATTAAAACTCGACGCGACGTAGGTATGTCTCTCATGCGTACTTTTTATACTTTCTTTTTGTATGAACAGAAGAAAATCCGGGAACTTGACGCTGGTTGACGCTTATGTTCGCCCATGGCGAAACGAGTGAGATCCGGCAACGCTAAAGAGATAAGGATACTTGAATCCAGCGTCTGCCCTTTCAATGTGCACAACACTCGGCATCCTCCCCACCACTTTCGCGTTCCGCCCTTCGTAGTGCCGTCTGCAACGCGATATATAATATGTACATACGTATACTCCCCCCCCCTCTCTCTCTCTCTCTCTCTCTCTTAGCGTGTACAATTTTCCGAACGTAATTTCGTCGCGTGAGGTAACAATGGAGCAATCAGAAGTCGCCAATTAACCACGATTATATCAGTTGCAACTTCGTTCTAAATGTTTTAATCGATGCTCAGTTGACACATTTTTATATCCTTATATAAACTGCAACTTTATTCCAAGTAACTAATTAGTACTGTGGTATTTCAATTTGTATTATCTTTCAATCATCGTATTATTTTAGTGAAATTAATATGGGAAGAGAGAAAAAGAGAAGACGAATTCAAACGCGGCGGCTCTCAAACGTTTGAAATATCCATTCCAATGCTATGCACATCTGTATTATCGTTTAAAGTGCTCGATATGCTGGTTGCAATAAAACAGTTTCGCGTCCAAATAATCTTTTCGTTTGTCAAGCGCATGTCTGTACGATTTCCGCATGTTAAATTTGTAATGTCAAATTATACTCAATTTTTAGAGTTATTTTTAATCATTTCTGTAGATTACCATTGCTTCTACTCCATATGTCATTAATTTCACTGAAACAATGAAGTTACAATTTAAATCAAGAAAATGTATTAAATTTGACTCAAATTTAGCTCATCATTTACTAAGTTAATATAAACGCTGTTTACTTTGAAATTAACTACAGAAATAGATTAATTCACATTTTTACACAAATGGAAGGTAAGTAACAAAATATTATTTAGGGGAGTTTGCCGAATGAGTACCTACTTATTGATCACCTAAATCGTACCTCATCAATAATTTATAATATTTATATTATTTTATATGTATAAGCAATATTTAATAACAATAATATATAAAATAAATGAGAAATAAAATGAGTAATAAGTATAGGCAAAAATTTAATAGGCTATGTCTTGTTGTATGGATTTAGCGGCGTTTTAAAAAATCAGGTATGTGACTGATAATAACGTAATCTTCCAATTTTATTATGAATTTTTATATTTTTATGAAAGAAGATTTATTGTAGAATATTTTAAATTCATTGTATGTACATGTATTTGCAATCATTAGAAAGATTAAGTCGATATTTTTATGAAATCCATGAAATTTTCTAAATCGTACCATTACAAAATAAGACTGACAATTGGCAATAATAAAACTAATAATTGATATGAAGACAAATATCAATTGCAAAAATAAATTTGTAATATATGTAGAAAGATTGTAATTATTATTTATTACTTCATATACATATTTAGCATTCTTATTCCTTATTAAAACTTTATAAACGCATTTTATAAGTTATTGTATCATTTTATGTTTTATTTATAAGCATTATTTGTAAATTTTTCATGAGTCGTACATATCCTCTATCCCCCTATGAAGCCATATATCCTTGTGGGATATACTGCAAAAATGCAAGGGTTTCAAAAAGGTCATTTCTTAATACGAAAAATAAATATTTCGGATTTCTAATATTTTTTTCATAGTAGTAGACAGTACAAAGTTTTTACTGATATAGTTCGTTTACTTTAAACATAGTAAATAATACTTAATAAATTAAGTTTTTGCTATGTGCGGCGTATATACCGGAGTTACCCTAATAAGTATACATACGCATGTATTCTTGAATGTAATTTCGCGCGCGTGCGCACGCACACACACACAATACACACGTGTATACATATATATGGTAATATACTATTCTTAAAACTCAATTTTAGTGTTACTCACAAAGGAAGTTTCATAACTGTCCGATTTAAAATTAAAAACAATTTTTTTGTTTGTGTAAACAATTGTGTTTTTGTAAAAAATTTTTTTTCTTCTCAATATTGAAGTACTCTTGAAACCGTACAACTTTTGTTTAAAAAATTTTTTTCTATCTTTTATACTTCCGATGATATTCGCCTCGAAAGAAAAATATTTTTTTTCAAAGGGATGTTTCATCCCTTAAACATGAGGGCACGTATAAAAAAATACGTGTCTCTTAGATTTTCGTGTTTAACAACATATTTCATGGAAAATCAAATCGGTTCCGGACAGTTGTGAAACTTTTCTTGTGAATAACACTAAAATTGAATTTTAAGGGTAATATACAATATATTATATATGTATACACGTATGTGTAAAACTTCTCCATCACGTCACATATACAGCATATAGCTATAATATGGCAAAATATGTGAAAATAGCCCTTTTTTTGCGAACTTTAACTGCAAATTTCTCAAAATTATGACGTGATGGAGCAAACATTGGAAACTGTAATTCTTATTCAGCGTTAAACAAACTATAGGAACTGACTAGTCTCGTTCTGGTGATTTTTTTGTCGAACAGTGTTGAGAAAAGAATATTCGGGTACTCTTTCACGCGCGTGTAGCGGTGAACTCGGGTTTTTTCTAATGAAAAATTCCCATTGGTTTCTTTTTGCACATTCGTTACCACGCGGCATGCATATCATGTGATGCTCCAATTCTCGTGACAGACAGACCGATATCACGTATGCGTGACGGCGATAATTATCTGAAATTAATTTTCGTATACGCACGCACGCACATAGTTCGAAACAGCGCCGTCCATGCTAACGGCACGATGAAATCTCAAACAAATCCGTCTGAGATTTTAGGAAGGAGCACAGAGTCTTGTATAACGTATAACGTACAGTATATAAGAAAATGAACCAATTGAAATTCTTTATTTCCTTTCCTTTCCATAAAATAAAAGAAATAAATCTGATTCAGAGCTGACATTACTTTACTCACCCCTAAAAAAGTTGGAGTTTTTTGAGTTTTACTCCGTAAAAAATTTGTGGATTTTTTTGGGTTTTATTGGAATTGTAGAAAAATAAATTTTTTAATTAAAAACAAATTAGAGGAACGTATTTATAAATATCTAATGGATATATGTACACTAAACTAACTAACTGAACTAATAACTTAATATTTGAGTATTTCTCTGTTTAATATCTAAATAAATGTTAATATATTGTTCATAATATGTAGCGTCATCATTTCTCTCTTTGTTTTATTACAGAAATGTTTTTTCCATATCTAAAATTCATCATTAATATTTTTACAAAATATTATTCTCATATAATTAATATTATTTGAATATGTAATTAAATAATAATAAATACAACGTAAACCAAATATTAAGTGAAGAAAATATCTAATAATTAATTGTATAAAAAAAACCTAAAAAAAAACCCTCAAAATTGTATAAAAAAACCCAAAAATCCAATAAACCATCAAAAATACCTACTGGACTGAACTGTTTTAACAAAACCCGGGTTTTTTCCAGCCCTACTGAGTAAGTCTTATTATACTTTACGCATTACCCCTCAAACACAATAGAGTAGTAAACCTTAAGTTAAGTCTTAAGAAATTGACCAATCATAGTCGATTATTCTTCTCACAGTCGACTGTGATTGATCAATTTCTTAAACCTATTCTACAATGTGTTCTTTGTTTCCTATTTCTTACTTTTTACTTCTTGTTTTTTTCTGCTCTTTGCTACCGTTTTAATGACAACTGTATTTCTTGCTACTGTTTCCTGTTTCTTCCGAAGTTTGTTAACTTTTATCCCGGGCGACTGAAAATTAAAAACCAGATAAGAAGCAAAAAGACAAGCTGTAAAAAATAGCAAAAAAATAAAAAATACATTGTAAAATAGGCTTTAAGGCTTAAGACTTACTATTCTATTGTGTTTGCGGGGTTATGCGTTATGCAAAGGTCTATTCTTCAGCCTTTGACGTTAGACGCGGTGGCTATCCTTCCATAACTCTGCACCGTTATGATAAACTACTGGTGATTCCCGAGATGTTAAATATAAATAACGGCGACTCTCAAAACTCCGATTGAGCACTCCTTTTTCTCACATGTTAAAGGGGAATCCTACGTCGCGTGGCACGCATCGCCATTGTTTTCATGCGAGAATGAGAAAAAGAGAGGAAGAAAGATTGATCACGCACACGTTTGCATCCCCGAGTTCGATTTTGTTTCTTCTCTTCCTGTCTATCTCATTCCTGTTTTTCTTTTGAGGACGGACGAGGTGAAGGACGTGCAACCGGAACATGACGAGAGAGAGAGAGAGAGGAGGGGGGGACAACGCCCCTGCACCTCAACTGGATTCTCTCTATCGACGATCGACGGGGAGGCTGATTCGCGCGCTGATATTCACTCGTCTCGTTGCCGCGCCGAGGATAGCGCTGTAACGAGATAATCGAGAATAAGTTTTGTGCGATCGTTCTACCAGGCGGAAATCAATTCTGGAGCACCCTGAGACCCCAGGCGAATCACGCACACATCCGCACATACGCGTTTAAATAAATTAAATTACATATTTTACGAGTGAAATAGGTTCTCCAAATATCGCTAAAGATGGAAGAAAATATTTCTTGCTCCGATTTTTTCAACGAGAAAAAGAAAATGCGTAAAAATATCTACTATATCTATACGTTTAAATAAAATATGCACATGAAATGTCATACTAATTGGTTTGTATAGTATATTTGTTTTTAACAAAATTGATACAGAAGTGGTATAGAACTAATGTATTAATCACTAAAACCTGAAAATTTCACAGTTAAATAGTATGACATTTCATACACTACCCTCTATATATTCAGGGCTGGACATTTCAAATACTTTTAATAAAACACAATTTTTGCAAATACAAGTGTATTTTGTATTTTGTATTTCAGCGGAACACATGAAAATATTTTGTATTTCAAATACTATTGTAAGATTGACAATCAATCTTATTATTTATATTACAAAATACAAAAAACTTTTAATCTTTCAGTTTCAAATACAAAATACGTAATCATTTTCATGTGGTCCACTGAAATAAAAAACTGTTTTAAATAAAAGTAGTTTAAATGCATGTCAGTCCTGTATATATTTTACTAAACGGAAGAAAACACTTTTCCAAGTCTACATTCGGAAATACCCGAATGGCTTCATGTATCATTTTACTCTTGTTTAACATACAGTGAACAAGAATAAAATGAGCCATAAGGCCACTCCGTGTCTTCGAACGCAGCCCAACGGATATAGAAAACGTGTAGAAATGTACATTGAGAAAAATTTCTGGTTGAAAATGGACGAACCAGATGATTTTGATTACGTCAATCAGAATTCTGGTTATCTCAACTAGAATTATGATAAAATTATAATAAATTCAACTATAAAATTCTGATTCCTCCATTTTCAATCAGAATTCTAATTAGTGTAACCATCACTCTTTTTCCAGTGTAATTTAACGGCGAACCGAATTGAACGATCGTAAAAATGTATGAAGGTCGCGAAAGATTCCGCTCGGTTCTTCGAAAGGGCATCGAGGTTACGAGCGCTGCGTTAGAAATTTCGCGAACGGCGCGAATCCGTGTCAATTAAGACCAACGTCCCCGCGCCTCGAGAGAGACGCGTCCTGAAGCCTCTCACCCTACGCATTGGAGACTAAGGATTGCGAATTAGAGATTAGAATTTGATCAGTCAGAATTTTCATTTTAATCCATTTTGTTTTAATTAGCTGAATTCTAATCTTTAATTCGCAATCCTCAGTGCGTAGTGTAATTTCAAGGGAAAGGGCAGCCTAAACACCTATTTCTCTCATCGTTTTATTGTCCGCTCTTATAAAAACGGTAAAACATAGCAAAGGGAAACAATAATTGCGCCATATTAATAAAAAAAAAAAAATCGATTCTGACGATCAAACGGAGTACCAGGCGGAAGAGCAGTGAATTTGCAGTGCTGGTCACCGATAATGGCGATAACTTCACATGCGATAAAATTCAGGATCCTTTGGCCGTAATATCCGCTGACCTTCGTTGTCACGAGAAGGGCAAAACACGCGGATCCTGTCAAAGATGCTCCTGCGAGCAATTTTGTTCCTTGGAGAGGGAGATCGTGTGATTTGTTACAATCGTCGGCGCACCGCCCCAAATCAAGGGGGCTCGAGAGGGAGGGAGATAGAGGGAGACGAGATGACGCGACGCGACGCGAATAAGCGTCAGAGCGTCGGAGCCACGGCCTAACCTTCGCTCGATTCGGCTCGACCGGTCGGAACTGGCTCTTCCGGATCTCGCGGTAGATGAATCACACTCGAAGACACGCGCCGAATCGCTTCTGGGTCGCTACTCCATGGCGATACAGAACCAGCTGATCCTGCGCGCTTTTCGCAGGAGGAAGACTCGGCGAAAAGCCACCTTGAGGAGGCTCGCGAGGATTTCACTTTGTCGGGATTCGGCTGCTACTCACCGTCTCACTCCGGATTCTGAGGATCGTGATCGCGGGTACGACTCGCGATTGCACGCAGTGCTTTTGGAGCCGCTGTCTGCGATACAACGCTTGTTGTTGAGAGAAAAAATAGGAACGCACGGCCACGGAACGGCCTCCCGATCGAACGAAGCTGAACGAGGCCAGATGAAACCAAACAAAGCTACCGAGCGATCGACGAGCGACGCTGCGCTGCACAACACCGAACGATGCTGAAATTGCTAAACGACGTCGACGCCGATACCGACACCAACCAACACCGACCGACGCCGACTGACGCCGATCGACGACTGATTTTTATCGAACCGTCCGCGGCGTCCGTGGTGAAATTAGGTGAAATACGGCTCGCGCCGCGCCGCGCTCGACCCGCCAATCCCGCCATCTCGCGACGCGATACGCGGTACTATGACGGAAGATTGAAGAAATTTGTGTATCTTGAATTAAGGAAAAAATTACAAAAGTGAACAAATTCAGTAGATATTGACCAATTAAATTTATTAAATTATGGCTACTTTTACACCCAGCGACCTTATAGCGACCTATATCAGAGAGAAGCCTGAGAGCGGCCATACCCGGGATTTAGCCAGGATTGCCAGATGAACCAGGGATAATATCGCCACCTATGAAGCTTTCGTAGCCAAAAGTTTCGTCGCCATTTTGTTGATGAATTTTCGCCAACAAAATCGCCTAATTTTGGTGAATTCTCGTCATAAAATCGTCAGATTTTGGTGATTTTTCGCCAATAAAATCACCAGATTTTAGGAATTTATATTTATGACTGTCAGGATGCCGTCACATGCGGCTTAACCTGTGTAAGCGTAACCTGCGTATTCTAGTAATTTACTAGAATACGTATTTTTTATTTACTAGAATACGCCATTCTGAAAGCCGACATTCACATTGGGCGTATTTCGCGGAAGATTAGAGAAATGGGGAACTAATGCAACCAATTGCTGATTAGAATTTCCGTTGTACACTCTAACAGAAATGCTAAATGAATTTACGATTGGTTTTCGTAACTTACGCAACTCGAAAAGTACACCTCATGGGGAACCGGTACTTTCTATCGCGTACATACATACAATACGCGTTTGTACAAATTTAGAAGAAGAAAGTCTGATTTATATAATGGCCGTAATCGTTAACTTATGTCGGTGCCAGTAAAGTTCAACCATAGGATTTCAATGCTTTCGTTCATACTAATATAGCAAGTTAGTATGAACGAAAGCATTGAAATTGTGGCCAATCACAACTCGCGCTGGTAGTAAGTAGTACAAAAAGTCGAAATTGTCGACTATCAGCGCGAATTCTGATTGGCTGCTGCTTTTCCGCTTTTCCGTCAAGGTGTGAACGCGCCTTAATACGATGCATTTCCGCAAATTCGACACGATTCGGCACAATTTGACTGATACACATAACTGTCGAAACACGAAACCTCCGCGATGACAGCCATTCGCGAACAGTTCACGAATTATCATGTAATGCGGGGAAAATAATTACACTACTTTTATACTCGATCGATCATGATCGGCGCAAACTAACGGATTACTACTTGTAAATATTACCAATCCGTAGAAAATAAAACTATGATGCCTCAAGGATTTTTGTTGCTACCAACATTACCCCCTCTTTTTTTATGAAAATTGTGTAACCCAAAAAATTGTGAACATTACCGACGGGATCGTGGGCATTGGCTACGTAGTTCAATGTCCACGTTTTGTGGACATAGAAGCGCTTCAAAATAAGGTTGCAGCTAAATCCCGGGCACAGTATATACTGTGACTCGGGCATGGTCGTTCTCAGGCTTCTCTCTGGGTTTATATTTATATTCAAAATGTCATATTTGCAAAAATGTATTTTGTTTTTTGAACATATTATTTTGACTAGAAATAGAAGAAATATTCTTTCTTTGAAAATTATGCGAAAAAAAATGTGGGACAAGATTCGACAATTGCGCAGAATGCAGGAAATAATGTTTATGGAGTATGTGAGGATGTTTCCTATGCCTAACATGTTGGAAATGTATTTTAATATGATACACGTTGAAAAAAGCATATGGATGAAGCCGAGAAGCAATTATTTTTGGCATAAAGTAGTACTATGTACATATACAGATTCAGACTGGATAGAGAATTTCCGAATGTCTAAAAAAACTTTCAATGATTTGTGCTTTTTATTGCGACCTGCTTTGGAACCTAAGCCTCTTCTGTTAAAATCAAGAGAACCTTTATCAGTCGAAAAGCAAGTCGCTGTCGCTTTATATAAATTAGCAAATTATGCAGAATACAGTGTCGTGGGCAACATATTTGGAATTCATAAATCTACAGTAAAAAAATGTTTTTTTCGAGTTGTCAATGCTGTAAATAATTTGATGATGAAAGATTATCTCCAAATGCCAGATACATACGAAGCTTCAGAAATAGCAATGAATTTTGAAATAACATCGCACATTCCACAAATTATTGGATGTATCGACGATACGCACATACCTATATTGGCTCCTTCAGAAAGCTATCAAGATTTTGCTAATTGTAACGATTGGCCTTCATATGTTTTACAAGCAGTGATTGATGATAAATGCAGGTACATATTTACATCCAGTTTTATTAATAACAGTAAAATGATCGATAATCATTAATAAATGTATTATTTATAGATTGAGAAATATTTGTGTTTACCATCCTGGGAGTATCCATGATGCTACTGTATTAAAAGATTCAAGTTTGTATAGAAATTTAAAAAATATTATTCCACAGGTATGAATAAAGACTTAACAATTAATCATTATATAATAAATATAATATTTATACTTTGTCATTATGTAATATTATTGTATAATTTTGATTGCAGGGTACAAGAAATATTAATGATTTAGAGATACCTTACTTTATTGTTGGTGACTCTGCATATCCACTGTTGCCATGGTTATTAAAAGGCTACTCCGGTACTGTAACAATTGAACAAGAATTTTTTAATGTACATTTAAATTCTGCAAGAGTTTATGTAAAAATGGCATTTAGCCATCTGAAGGCACGTTGGAAAATACTCCTAAAAAGAATTAATACAAATCATGTATTCGTTCCAAATATTATAAGTTGTTGTTGTATTTTACAAAATTTTTTGGAATCTAAGAACGAAGAATTTTTTCAACAATGGCTGAATGATGTGCTCGAAGCTGAAATAATGTATCCACAACCTGTAAATGTTATTAATCAAGAATGTGATGACATCTCTGGGTCAACTATTCGAAAACATTTAACAGATTATTTATGTAATATTCCGTTATGTGAAATTCCGTTGCATGCAAGTGTTTTAAGAGATGATATTGTACAATAATTCACGATATTCAAGATAAGATAAAAAGATTTTTAGGTAAGAAACTTATGGCTTGGGTATCCCCCCGTCTTCATGAAGGGAACTCCAGGATCCTTTTGCCTTTTGAGGCCTTGCGCTCTTGATACTTCCTTCTTCGGAAAGGGGGAAGGGAATTCAATTTTGGCTTTACCGCGGTACCTCTGCTCCCAATCCTCGCTTCGGCATTCGCTCTCCGTCTCGCGGAAAAATATATGACATTAAATTAATCGATTCGTTTACAAATTTATAAAGTGATTAAAATCTTTTTGTTAAAATCTTTTAAAGCTGGTTCTACATTAGTCGCATCGCAGATCCGGGCTTATTTGATTAATTTTTTGACGATTTTAAGTTTACTATATTCATTGTACTACACCTACTACACCTATACTACACCCGGGCTTTGTTCGTTTTCGTAATGTATAAATCTATTGAATTACCAAATAATGACTTTTCCTAAATGAAAATAATAATGAAGATGTCTTGCCCAAATAATTTCTAATCGATTCCATTCATAAAACACATTAAATAAAATCGCTGTCTGCTAACTTGACGCATGATAAAATTTGTTAATTACAAGAAAAATACTATTTCCTAAATGTTTAAATGCTTTTCCCAAATTTCCCCAAACGATTCCCAAATTATATAGACATAAATAAATTAGAAATATTCAATTTGTCTGCTATCTTGTCAGTGATCACTCGCAACAGGATCGACGCGACAGGCGACGCTCGCGGCGGCACCGAAACGATCGATATGATCGCGTAAAGGTGCTGTCCCATGACAGTCGGATTTCGGAAAATGGAATCTCGGAAAAGTAATAAAGTAGGGATCAACCAATTAGAATTATTAGGATGCATTATTGTTCGTCTGTACATATACATTAAATACAAGATTATCGAATTTCTATACGTATAAAAAGAAATTCATTATTAATAAATAATTGTTCGAAAAATATTCATTAATATAAGTATTCATTTTTCCACTATATAAATATAATCATTTATATCGTTGGAGATAAAATTGTATGCTTGTCGGTCCAAAATTTGTGTGGCTGGGTTACCCATGAAGCGACTTTTTCGAAAAACAGACTGTTATTGTAACTTCAAACCTCTTTTAATTTAAAAGATTTTTTATCTTCTGTTATAGTAAAAATCTTATCTTCTGTTATAGTAAAAAATATATCGAAATTTTATTTTCTTGCAGATTCTTCTACTATATAATAATTATATTTTTTCATAAAATATTTTTAAAATAAATTTTATTTTTTTCACAATTTCGGATATATTGGTCCATGAGGAACCCAGCCACAAAACTTTCGAACCGACAAGCACACAATTTTATCTCCAACAATATAAGGTAAATGTCCCAGTAGCCGAACGTTTAAGCGTTAGATTCTCATAAATAATACGAGGGGCACTATTTATATTTTGAGCCTAATAATAAAAAAACAGTAATTTGTCATTGAAAATGATTTTATTGTTTTTGAGCAGACTTTATTGGTTTTGAAGCACCGCCATTGTATTTCTTAAGCATTTGTTTGCACCAATCGACACGAGCATCTTTTTGAGATTTTGTCAGATTATGTGGGATCCAACGAGAACAAATCTTTTTCACGGCTAAATGATCATGCAATATTTTATATATGCTGGTGGAACTAATGCCTAAGGTTGTCTCAATCTCACAGTATGTCACATGACGATCTTGCATTATTAGTTTTTGCACAGCATCAATGTTTTTTGACACAACAACTGATTTTGGACGACCTTCACGACTTTCGTCGGTGAGCGAACGGCGACCACGATTAAATTCGTTATACCAGCGTTTCACAGTGGCAAAGGACGGGGCTTTATCGCCAAAAGTGGAAGTAAGTTGATCGATGCACTCCTGTCTTGATAATCCACGTCGAAAGTCGTAATAAATCATTGCACGAAAATTTTCACGAGTTAATTCCATTTTTTCGCTGAGACACAATTTTCAAGTGACTGTAAACAATACAAATCGCGCTCAAATAACAAAACGTTCTGAAGGTTATGGTCAAAAATGTCAAACTTTCTAGTGGAAACGTCAGATGACACCTGACAACACTCAGTGTTGCCAAGGCTCAAAATATAAGTAGTGCCCCTCGTATAATTTATAATATCAAAAAGGTTTTTAATATAATTTTGTATTGATTTGAAAACACAAGACTCCCTTAAGCAAGGAAAAATTATTTGAACCCACTTATAACAATTACAAGTACCCAGATAGCACTTATATGGCACAGTAACCATACGTTGCAGAGTTGTGAGCTCTGAAACGTTACGCTGTGCACGCATATTACACTCATGTGAAACATCATGTGTTGAAATTCGTGAAGTCACATGAAACAAACCCTATAAACAACTCGTTAACCGCACATTGTCAGCACGACGTTAACTTTATATATAACTGACACACAGTTATGTTATAGCAGCATATTGACTGCGCAATGAATAATACAAATTCTGTCTTTTTAGAACAGCACGCCAAGCACACAATCCTGTTATGACGTGTAAAATTTTTGTTAGTCCTCATTCTTGGAACCCAATTATAGGAACTGATTTCATCATTATTGGCTGCATTCAACAGACTCAAGTGTTGTGTCTGCTGAACGTAGATATTTTATCAAAGAAAAAAAAAAGGAATCAAATTTTTGATTGAGAAGTCTCATCCTAATGCGCCTTTTATCCTACTCGATGTAATTTTTTAAATATGAGAAATTGAACTTCGCGATGTCCCTCTAGTGGCGATGTTGTGCATTGCTTGAAAATTGGACATATAGTATATTTTTCTGCACGAAACTAGTCACGCGTAAAAGCGCCGTGCAATTTCGAAGTTATAGCGCGCAGTTTTGTTTTAATGCTGATAATGCGATCGCGCATGGGAGAAATCTACGTGTGAGCTTCGAACGATCACATAGATTCGGCAAGAAACCTGACACGCGTAACAGCACCGTGCGTTTTTAAAGTTATAGTACGCAATTTTGGTTTAATGCTAGCACTGTCAAATAATTTGGAGCAGTAACTAAAATCTGACAACATTGACTTGTACAATACCAGTACGATATCTAAACTACTGGAAATCACAGCCTGTTCAGCTGTGATTTTTGAACGTTTAGCTATCTGGGTAGCTGAATCGTAGAGATCCCTCACAGTTTCTCCTGGAGCTGCGCAATCTTTGCATCCCGTTGCCACAACGTCACCGCAAATTCCTCTTTGTTGCTGCTCCGCGATCTCTGCTTTCGCTGTTGCATTGAATCTGCGTAATCGGTTCTCGTGCGTTGCTGTTATTTGCGCAGTTGTTGCAGCTCTCGTAATACAGCTTGAAGCGCCGTTGTTACAGGAGAGGTTTCCTATAAGGCGACCCGTAGAGCTGTCACTTCCGCCGTTTATTCCGATTCTCGCGGGATGATTTGTTGCGTCAACGTTCCCTCTGAATTCTCCATTTGAGCTCTCTTTCTCGTAATGATTGGCGAACGAATCATTACCCGATGCCGAGATTCTTTAAATCGGACGAGCCTCCAAAATGTTGCGTCCGTACGTCCGACCCTCAGAGGCGCTCTCGTAGACGCGTTCTTGCACTCACGGTTCGCGGGAATAAAGTACACGAATTACACGAAAATGGGCAACGCGATCTTTGATCTTCACAGGTATCGGCACGGCACGGGCAAAACAATATATATATATATATATACATTTGTTTCTTTACTTGTATACCTGTTTATTTGTATCAGTCTCATTAGATGAAGATGATGAATGTGATAACGAAGGAGATGGTGACAAATGGTACGGACACACATTTTGAGAAGCAGAAGTTGACGGGAATGTATGCACTGGAACTGAAGTTGGTGTAAACTGAGGATATTGCAAGTTGGTAGATTGCATTGTTTGTAATCCTTTCATAAAGGTCTCCAAAATTGAAGTTTGATGCTGGTATTCTTTTTCAATCATCTCCTTTTCCCACTTTCTTTGATTATCCAGTTGCGCATGTATTGCATCGTCAAACATGCGCATTTGTTCCTTCATAACTTTTTGTATTTCTTTGGCCTGTTTTTTCGCAAAAACTTCTGCAAATTTCTCCGCTAGCTTCATGTGTGTGTTGCGACCTAAAAATACACAAATAAACAATATTATTTTGTGTGAATTTATTTGGAAACAAATTATTAAAATTTATATTATGATGTACTTATTAGCATAAGATAAATAGATGTGTGCTTTAAATTTTTACTAGTGCTCGAAAACATCAGACGATTTGACAATTCGGACAGTTCGAATCTTAAGTTCGAACGTTAAATAGTTCGGACTGAATGTATGTTCGAACTATTTTAACCCACTTCAGAGCTGAAAGTTCGAAATTATTACATTTCGAACTCAGACATCACAGTCGTTTTCAGGATCATCCTGAATATGTCCAGGATGGCTCAGAATATTTATAGGACGATATCAGTAAATATAAGAATTTTATTTAACTGCTCTTTTGTTTCCAAGGGATACTACATTTGTTTACTGACCGAACTTCGAACATAACGAATTGATGTTTCATACTGATCACTGCTTAAGCTCAAACTGTTCGAACTGTCCGAAATATTCGAATTAGATGCTCATTTTTTTAAACTTTCAACTATTCAAATAGATCGAATATTCAACATGTTCAAATCTTTTGTCTGAGCCCTAGTTTTTACATAATGCAATATTTATAATGTTCTATTTTATATAACTTTTAATTTAATATTCATTTATAATTATTATTAATATTCATTTATAATTTTTTTTACAAAAGCTGTTTGTAATATTTCATAATACTGACCTGTTTTTCTTTTTTTAGGTGATGTAGTATCATTCACGATCTTTTCATTTTCCTTTATTTTATCTTCTAAATCAGCTTCTATATTATCTTCCACTTGAAGCATTTCTGGTTCAGTTAATTCTACAACTATGAGTGCATACATTGTTATTACTGTCATAAATATAAATAAGTAGTGAATAACAAACGGATTAATAAACATTATTCACATACTTTGAATATTATATAAATCTATGTTACGCGGCATGCTTAATCAGATTTAATAACATCCGTAAATTGGCCAATCATAGCTGTTCCTCAGAAGAATGGAATGACTGTGATTGATCAGTTTCATAACTATGGATGTTATTAAACCTGATTAAGAGTGCCGTGTAAATGTAGTCATTGGCCTAGTTTCCACCAAGGGTTCGAACCGGGTCAAAATGCAAGAACCAACCAACTACAGTTGAGTTTCCTTTTGTTACAATTGAATTACAGGGGAATGCTCGACTGTAGTTGGTTGTTCTTGTATTCTAACCTAGATCAAACCCTTGGTGAAAACTAGAAATTTGTTCGTGTCACATATTCTAATATGTTCCTACCATAGCTCCTATTCACTCCAACGTGCTTGGTAGAATTATGGCTCGTCTACAATACACATAATAAGCTTGGTTTAAGAAGTAAGAGTAAGAAATTGACCAATCACAGTCGAGTGTGAAAAGAATAATCGACCGTGATTAATCAATTTCTTACTCTTACTTCTTAAACCAAACTTATTTTGCATATTGTAGACGAGGCCTCAGAAGGAGCTATGGTAGGAGCATATTGGAGCATGTTGGAGCTTGCGACACGAACAAACCTTAGGCCATTGTCACTGAAATCAATACCGATATCTGTATTGGCTTGAACTGATGATCTTCCGCAATAAAGTTGTTCCATTTCATCGTAAAACACAAATGTCTGACGACTAACGCCACTTGTATTGTTGTTTCTTTTACATTTAAAATATATTTCCTTCAAATGTTTCAATTTTATTTTCATTTGTGCGCCACTTTTTATGAAACCCATCTCTTTCATACTAGGCTCCAATGAATTATAGATGTCTATATGTTTGTGGCGTTTCCCATCCATCATTTGTATTATTCTCTTTTCAATACAAAGGTTGAGAAAACATCTTGTTTCTGTTTTAGTCCAATTGGAACCTTTACATTTCCTTTTAGAGCTATTGAACAAAATATTTTCGAAACATGAAGTTAACGTGACTTTATTCTGACAAGTACTATTTGTAAATATTATTTTTATTAGCAAAGGCATTGGTACTTACGAACTTGAATTCTGTTGAGAATCGCTGCAAGACATTTTTTGCATCTTTTTTTTTAATACTTGTATCTTTGTAATACTGTAATCTTTGCACAAATCAACATTAACAATAAGTCTTTTCACATTTCGTCTAGAAGTAGGTAACAAATTGGTTTATCTAACGTAATAATTCAGCAAAATAGCAGTGAATCCTATCGAGAGTACCGAGCAAATGAAAAAGCTTTAAGGTTACGTCGCGTCGCGCGTTTGCATTTGCATCGAAGTTACAAAGAGGTTGTACCATATATGTAATATATTTTGCTAACGCAACCTCTTTTTGGGAGTGGGGGGTGTGCAAAGATAGCGAGATACAGAATAGTGGATTTCTCACTTCCACAGTGTACTCGAGTGTGGTGCGCATGCGCTGTAAACTATCTAAAGGTGCCATTACCCCGGATCTACAATAGGGTTTTAAGGGTGAAATCACACGGTGCGGAAAAAGACTGCGGAATAGAGAATGCGTCAATGGGTGCATTCAGCGGACTCAACAGTTGAGTGAGCGCTCGCTGTTATTGGTGTATTCTTTTAGATCATCCAATCATAATTTTAGATCTAGAAGAATACGTCAATAGCAGCGAACGCTCACTCAACTGTTGAGTCCGCTGAATGCAGCCAATGGCTGCGTTCAGCAGAACGTTTGTTTTGCAACTGTTGTAAGTTTCCTTCGCGCTAATTGGATCATACTTTTAGATCTAGAAGAATGGTCCTATCTCAGCAGACAATCATAAAACGGTTGCAAAACTGTTGAGTCTGCTGAACGCAGCCATTGAAGCAACCAATCAGCACTATTCCGAATAGCGCTGAATAGCGCTGAATAGCGCTGATTGGTTGCTTCAATGACGCATTCTCTATCCGCAGTCTTTTTCCGCACCGTGTGATTTCACCTTAAGCCTTATGCGGGGTCTACAATAGAAGTCGTAGCTGTCGTAGGGTCTTAAGTCGTAGAAAATTGACTAATCACAGTTGAATATGAGAAGACTAATCAACTGTGATTGGTCAATTTTCTACGACTTAAGACCCTACTACTTCTATTATAGACCCCGCATTAAGCCATAAGAAATGGGCGAATCACAATCGATTATTCCCCTCGGATTCGACTATAATTGGTCAGTTTCTTGTGGCTTAAGTCTTAAAACACCTATTGTAGATCCAGACTTACATGGGAGCGTCAAACGTCGAACATTGTGAGCTTACTATTCGCTAAAAACAGGTCACGTGATCAAAATTAACGAATAGCAAGCTCATGATACTCGACGCTCGACGTTGCCATAAAGGCAAGGTAAAGGTACCTTAAAGATACCATTAGGCCGGAATCAGACTACGCATTGAAGATTGAGATTGAAGATTGAAGATTGAAATTTGATGAGGGCAAAGGAATTTTAGCTCCTATTGTTTTGATTGATCAAATTTCAATCTTTCAAACTTCAATCTCAATCTTCAATGCATACTCTGATTCCGGCTTTAGACGATAGACGGGGGCATTCGGGTGATATTTACGAACGCAGCCTAAACGAATGCACCCCACTTGACCGTGTTTGATGAAAGACGCTAAGTCCGGCTAAGTTGGTTTGTTTGACTAAGTTGCGAATTGCAGAACTTGTTATTTGCGACAATTGCGACACGTATCACGATATGATATTTAAGAGATACGAAGAGAGATTTGAGGAGATTGACTAGGTATTTATAGTACCTATAAATATATTATACACATAATATTTACATTCGCTTGGCTTGTGTTTCGGCGGAGCGAAATTTTTGTGCCAACATGTCGACGTGAATTCAATGGACTTACTTCTCGCATTAAATTAAACTTTAAAGATTAGCATATTGCTAATCTGCGCTCGATCTTTTGCTTCACTCGCTGAAGTTTCATAGGCCTGATAGATTGTCGATTGTTTCTCAAGGTTGTTGTAAAAGATAAACGGGAAACGCGCAGCCTTTTTCCTCCCTCTCGGAGATGACAAAGCAACGCAAAAACGTGGGAGTGACAGCGAAAATTACGGAACCGTTGCTGACGGTGCCGGAGCCGAGAGTTTCTCAACGCATCGCACCAATATCTTCCGTGCCTGCTCAATCAAAATACATCAAGTTGCTGCGAGTCATAGAGCAACTAGGTCGCGATCTTAAACTTTGTTACACCGGCGATAACATTAACAAAACGTTGTCTAAGGTCGAACGCGACATCGCGAAGGCGTGCTGTCTAGTCCAACAATGCCGTGCCGAGGCTATGAAGAGTGCCAGGAAAGCATGCCAATAACACTATGTGCTTTCATAATGAATTATACAACTTCGTTTGCGTAGAAAACTCATATTTATGATGCAAACATATATTTTTAAAATAGTACTTATTGCATTGTGCAGAAGCTTGTATTATCAACAGTATTCATTCTATTTTGAAAATTGGTCCATATTTTAGATCCACTCAAAATTCTTGATAATATACACTTGATAACATGCTAAAATTGAAGGTTATAACTGTAATGTCCTTCTTTAAGCTATTCAGCTTTAAATATTTTTAAATCTTATCCTTTGTGGAAAAAACTTTGGTGATGTTTATATGAGAAAGAGGGGGACAAAATTAAATTTTGTCCCTCAGAACCTACCAAAGTGGATAATTAACTATTAGGTGCAGCTAGAAGCACGACTGCTCACTGAGCGCTCAATGAGAGCGCTCTTGTACTTGTTTGGTCTATATTTTTAACTCTAATGGAATATGCCAGTCAGATGTAAGAGCTTACTGAGTACTCAGTGAACGGTCGTGCTTCTGGATGTACCTATTGGGTGCATCCAGAAGCGCAGAACGCTCAGTGAGCTCTTGCATCTGATTGGCATATTTCATTAGAGCTAAAAATATAGACCAAACAGGTACAAGAGCTCAATGAGTGATCGTGCTTCTGGATGCACTCATTGTTACACGAAATCACATAGGATCTCTATTAGCTGAGTTAATGTCCTTGAATATCAAAAATTTACAAAATCTAAGGCCAATATTCATAGTCAGATCTTAGTCAGATCTTAGATCTTTCAAGACTGTCTTAAGTGATGTCTTAAAGCACTAATACAGCCCTCTGATTGGTTCGTGACATCTCAAGACTGAACTTAAAACGGTCTTGAATATAAGAACTGACTGTGAATACCAACTTAAGTACACTGTATGTTTGTATATTTAAGTAAATATTCCATGTATTTTCTACAAAAGTTTAAAGAACCATTACATAGCTCAATATAAAGCAATTGGTAATCAAATGAATGATTGTTCTGCTACCTCTTGCATATTATAAGGATTTTGAGTGGAAAGTATTATCCCATTGTGATAGAAACAAATTCATAGTCATTTTGTAATGTGTTGTTAGATAAAAAATAAGCTCAAGTAATTATAGATAATAATGGCAATGGATTTTATTGAAAACTAATGGAAGAATATTTCTATCACAAACATCTCAATTTGGCTAAATTTAATCAAATAGCTAAATAGCTACTAAACAACTTTCCTTTTTTAACAAAAATGAATAATAATATCGAAAGAATTAAATACTGCCAAAATGTAGCCCTGTATATAGTGATATTTTTTATTTATTTTAAGCTCTTGGTTTGTAATAGTAAATAATGTAATAGTAAATAATTCTATATGGATAATTTGTATAAAGAATTTGTTTTTCTTTTCTTAATAATATTTATTTATTAATTTAAAATAATATAATTTGTGGAAATAGTGATATATTTAAAGCCTTAACATGTGTATACAATTATAGTACAAATAATACAAATAGTACAAATATAGACACAAGATGCATATAAGGTCCTAAGATAAATATAAGAGAAATACCAAGTAAAAGAATGATACAAATGTGTTCCTATATTTAAATTTTGTGTAATACTATAATGAAATAAACATTTTTTTATTGAAAAAGAGAAAAGAGCTGTGTGTCCATTGCAACTCATATTTTTCTTTCAGTTTGTTTCATATTTATATTGGATATATTCTCATTTCTTTCTTTTTTACATCTTTTCGCTATATATTTATTTCACAATTAATGTGCTGTTTTCAATACTATCTTTTACATGCATACATTGATTATGATCAAGATTTATTGATTATAATTAAGAACATAATCGCTATCTTGTAAGTTTATTATATATATAATCCTAAAACCACAAATTCAAAAGTATTTATTAAATATTATTTGATGATGCATAACTCTAAATTATGTCGAAATTCCTTTTGTTCCAGATAATTGACTGAAAGAAATGGCAGAAGATGAGATACATATACGTACATTGGCTACATTCGATACAAAATTTCCAGCAGACACCGTCGAATGGTGTCCTGTAGAGCCATATCGAAATTTATTAACGTGTGGAACATATGAATTAAATAAAAATGAACCTAACACAAAGTCTACATATAGACAAGGGCAAATTTTATTGTTGCGTATAACAAATGGTGGAGAATTAGAATTGCTGCAACAAGTATGCACTTCAGCTATATTGGATATGAAATGGTTACATGTCATAGATATTGTAGAAACTCGAATATTACTCGCAGTTGTCGATTCCATGGGATACTTACAAATTTATCAACTAAAAAACGATGGAAAAAGAATAGAATTTATCACTAAATTAAAAGTCAATAATGAGGAGAATGTCATGGCGTTATCTCTTGATTGGTCCAGAAGAAACAGCCCTGCCTCTGATCCTATCATTAATACAAATATTCTTGTGAGCGACAGTGCAGGACAAATCTCTCGTTTTACGTGGGGTGAAGCAGGTGATCTGACGAAAGATTTTACATGGCCTGCGCACAAGTTCCATGCGTGGATTGTCGCCTTTGATTATTGCAATCCATTAATTTTTTATTCTGGTATGACGATATATGATTTATATGAAAATGAATCTATATAGATTTTCGGCACAAGCAATTTATTTTGGAATACAATTTAGCTACATTATATATTTTGCTTGATTTATAAATAACAATGTTTTTGCGGTTGGATGCATTAGTACGCTTTGGTGCATATCAAAGCCATATATACTGATTTAATCTAAGTGTAAAAGTGATATGCAAATATTTTGAATTGTAAAATACATGTTTTATCTAACAGCACAATAAAGTGTGCTGACGATTTCGTAACTCAACATGTTTCTGTATTTATATTAAACACATACTTTGATGTCAATTTGCGTACAGCTTTATTAATGCGCACTGACAACGCGCCTAGTCGAATTTATTATTTAGAATATTATAATTCAATTGGGAGAGTAAGAAAACTCGATTGATAAGTTTTTATAAATTAATTTATGGTAAATTTCAGGAGGCGATGACAATAGATTCCTATGTTTCGATAGCAGAACTGGATCTCATCCTGTAGTTGAAAATAAAAAGTATATTGCCGGTGTCACTAGCATCCATAGTAAAAAATTCTTACTCGCAACCGGAAGGTAAAAAAAATTTTCGGTAATCACTTTACATTCTTTCAAGAAAATAAAAGTTTAAGAGATCAAAGATCTCCATATTTAATTTGTCGTACGCGCGCGCGTGAATCTTACAAATTTTAAAATAAATTTCTTCTTTATTCATAGATTACTAAAAATAAAAAAATTTAATCTACACATATTTTATCTTCTATGGTTGCAAAATTTATTTTGGATAATTTATTTGATAAATTTTTCTTTAAACGATCAATATGCGCTTAAATATTTCAGTTACGATCAGAATGTAAGACTGTGGGATAAGAGAAATTTCGCGCGACCAATATCGACGATTTGTCTCGATGGTGGAGTTTGGCGTTTAAAATGGGATCCGTTTACTCATCAATACCTGCTTGCCGCCTGTATGCACAATGGTTTTAAGATCATTAATCATGATGTATTATCGTCTGTTGTTGTCAATTATAAAGAGCACAAAGGTTTATCGTATGGCTGTGACTGGTCATTCTTAAAACAATCGGATGTTTCGAATTTAAGCATATCTAATGGAGACACTTTGATGAGCACTTGTTCCTATGAAGATTGTCTCCTTAAAGTATCTGTAATTGATTTTTGGCCGGACAAACGTATTGACGAAAAAGATTACTAATATAAGATGAAGGATATTCCTAAATAAACGTTATAACAATTTTAGAAAAATAAAATAGATATGTTTCACAATTTATATATATGAATTATCTATTATTTATATAGAAACCAGCGATTTCTTAAAATATTTATTGAAGTAATTATAGAATGACAAATGGGAAAATGATTTGAAGACTTTATAGATTTTTCTTTTAATAAATTTAATAAACATCAATAATTTGATATTTATTAAATTTAATGCTATAATCTCTAAATTTATAAGGAGAACTTTGTCCAATAAGCTTTCATCTAATAAGCAATCTAATAATATCCAGAAAGTCTTGTTTTTTAAACAAAATAATCTTAGATTTATCTAAGTTTCTTTAAGGTTTCTGAGTAATGTAAGAAATAAGCGATAACATGAGAAAGATATCAGGTCACTCCAGGATTCGAACCAAGCGCCCTGATATTTTTCTCGTGTTGTCGCTTATTTCTTAAGGGTTTTCTATAATAAGCTATTATTTAAGTTTTAAGTCTTAGATCAAAAGACATTAAATAATCATAGTCGAATATGAGAAGAAAAATCGATTATGATTGGTTAATTTCATATAGTGTAATGACTATTGTAGAAAGCCTATTACAATAGTCACCTCAGCCATATTGAATCGTGACGTCATAAGCAAGAAATGTGTCATAAACGAAACTTGGATTTTTCTTACACGCCAAATTTATATAAATAAAAACAATTTGGATAAGACGGAATAATGAGATCACTGTAAAATATTTATAAAAATAAGCCGAAACTATCCTTATCTCCCCTTGATAGTCAGTAAACAGTCGTAAAAGGCACGTAAAGTGCGTTTATTGATTTTTATGTGCATGCATAGCCTATTTTAATATGAGCCTTTTTCGACTATTTACTGATTGTCAGAGGGAGGGGAAGGATATAGATAGTTTCGGTCCATTTTTACAAGTATTTTACAGCGATTTCATTATTCTGTTTTTTATTCAAATTCTTTTTATTTACAAATGACATGCAAGAAAAATCAATATGTCACTTATGACATCATTTCTCGCTTGTGACGTCAAAATTCAATATGGCTGGTCCTGGTGTAATAAATAAGATGAACCATTGCGCATAATGGCGGAGGTCCGTAATCTTGACCAATCAGAGCTGTACTATTTTACGGCGCGAACTATCGATATGTTTGAAAATTAAAGAGAGGAGTAAGAAAGTGTAATGATTTTTAAAGGGGAATCATAGTGATTTTTCATTAAAAAATCGACTTCCTTATTATTGTTTAAAATACTCTTATGTAGATATAAAAAATTAATGGCTATGCAAAGAATAACTCATATGAGTAATTCGATCCTTTTAAATTAATTTGACCCATATTTGATAAAAACTCAGGAGCTGCTTACATTCAAATACATTTGAATTTGGAAAAATCGTCTTGACTCCCCCTAATCACTTTAGCTTCGCCCCCTAATAAAAATACATGTAAGGCAATTTTTGGCGTGCCTCTGGTATAGCAACCAAAAGCAACCGCGACTAATGCTGGATTCACACTGCATCCGATTTTCGTCGTACGACACATAGGGCATCCTTGATTAGACTGCAATGCTTGCGACACGCTTGCAACGCTGCGATACGATCAATGTAGAACCAGCTTTAGTTACTCGAGTAAAGTTTCGAAACGCAGATCGATAATTTCCTCTCACCGAATAGAATATATATATATATTTTGTAGTTTACATTATTAGTAAAAGGCTTTCCATGTTCATTCATTTTCAAAAACCTTCCTTCGACCTTCCGATGGATTAAACCTTCCAAATGAAGGAAAACCTTCCAATGGAATAACACTGATTCCAGACTGGAAATTTCCATTTTCAATTCTCGTTGCTTTCAATTCTCTTGCTATTTTCAACCCTTTTTTGGTTTCCACGATGTCCGCATGACTCAAACGGCGCGATCTACAATCGACATCCAGCAGCCAATAAGAAACTCTCTTTCCTAGGGATCTTTTCACGTTTCCCCTCCTAGAAGAAAGTCACACGAACTCCGGCCGAAAAATCCCTCGGGAACGACGTCTCCCATTGGACGACTCAGCCGGAAGCGAGCAAAACGTCACTTGGGACTTCCGGCCGGTCGTTTCCGCTTCCGTCCGCAAAGCGAAAGATAGCTGTGTCGTTTCACCATTCTAATTTGGTTCGTAAGCTCGTAAGGAGATACGAGGCGCGTGACTGAATAGCGAGGACGGTCCCGTGAGGGACGAAGTATCTGTGAAGGAAGCGAACGAGGAGAAGGACGCGATCCAAGTTGCTGCGAGTCCAAAGCGCTCGAGCAAAAGTCTTTCCGTCTCTGTCGACGGTATCTCTTCATCGTTCGTCCAAAGGAGCGGCACGATGACGGACAGTCGTGAGTATTTAAATAAAGTTACAGTTGCACGATTTATGGAACGAGACGATTTAATGAGCACCGATAATGAGCCATCTCGGGAAGCGTCTCCACGCGCACCGTAGTCCTAAGCCAGAAGAACCTGAGAGGAAAGACCAGCGTTGCAAGTCGAGATCAACATCGTCTTGTCGATTACGAGTGAAAATGGCGATTAACAGAGGCGTCGAATACACCGGAGTAACGCTGGAGTGAAATTTTCGCGGATTAGGAGACCGCTGGATTTTTGCGAATTCGAAAATGAGCGAGAAATATTATCTTTGTACACGTGGGGATTGTGACTTTCCTGAATGGATATATTAATATATTTATGAATTTATTTGAGTATATATATCTATATATATATATATGTATTTTTCCTCTAATAATTATTTAAATCCATAATTAATTGTTAATAAAGATCTGTTCTCTCTGAACTTCTTGCATGGTTCTTCTCTTTGTAATGTGTTCATTATATTTCTTACCTTTATTTTTTCTTATCTTGGTATTTTTTTATTTTTATTTTGTAGATATTATTTTGTGCTATCGTCTTTTTTTACTTGTCATTTTTATATTCTTAGGGGAGAATATTGATAAATGCCATTATCTATCTATCTCTTTTCCTCTCTATATCATAGAAAAATAAATGGTGCAAAAAGTTTAACTGAAAAGAACAGATCATAAAACATTAATGATCTGGTACTAAATTTTATTTTATGCAGCAGTATATAAAATGTTACAACAGTATATTGGAAGATCTTAACGAAGGAGCTCCGATTGCTAAAAAAATATTTGCATTGAATTTTGCAGAGTATTCCAATTACCAACAGCAGGGATATAATCAGTATAGTCAGCCACCTCCTGCAACTGGTCAGGATACATCATATCCACCACCTTCGACTGGCGGGAGTAGCTACAATCAGTACAGTCAACCACCTCCAAATTCTGGTAGCAGCTATAGCAATTATAACAGCTACAGTTCCAGCGGTCAAGATTATCAATCGCAGACTCAAGGTAGCTACAGCAGCCAAAACAGCTACAGCGGAGGTGGCAGTGGAGACAGCAGTAGTAATTATGGTAGCAGCTATGGAAACAGTGGAGGTGGCGGTGGAGGATATAATCGCAATTCCGGTTCTTACAGTGGAGGTTCATATTTTCTTCATACTCCTTATAACTAAAGATTCTGACTTCTACCTCTTGTTTTTTCTTCTTTGTTACATTTCTTTTTCCTCTCAGTTTTTATAATTTACCAGTTATATCAAAAACTTCTACTATTCTGCAACTAAACTACTTTAAACAATATTAAACGAAGAGTTTTTAGAATTACATGTGAACTATTTTAAATAATCTCTCTTGATTTTTTCTCTTTTACAGTTCGCACTTTATTCTTATCGTATATATGTTTTAGGAGGTGGCGGTGGAGGCGGTAGATACAGCGACCGTGGCGGTTACGGAGATCGCTCCGGCGGTGGTTATAAGTAAGTTCATTTTCTAAATCTTTATATAATATGCATAATGAAGCGAATAATCGGAGCAACGAACTCCGGTGTGTTAAATTAAAATCAACAGCCACCACATTCAGTAAGCATTCTTTGCCGAAGCAAAATTAAAGGTATGCAATGATGTTCTTAACGCCAGTAAATGGAAAACTTGTTGAAATCATTACGAATCGGTTTTATGCCCGACTGGGCGTTAATGTGTTTAAAGTATGCCTACAGGTTTAACAGACAGATATAACTGAGGTAAAAAGAGGTAAAAAAAACAGTATATGACAATTGACGTAAAAAGGCTGTAATGTCGACACTATTCGCTGCTTCTGAAATGTCAACAAACGCATAACGTACATTCACGTTCATACATGCATACATACATGTACACGACATATACATATTATGTGGCAGCTAAATGCAAAGGTCTTAAGTCGATTAGACTATAAAGCGATTGATGTCGCCACTGGGGCCACTGTTGTATTATTAGGTGTATTATGTATGATTAGGCAACTAAGGTACTTAAAGTCTGTCGTAAGAGATTACAGAAAAATATTGCCTTATTTGACCGCTATTATACGCCATATTTTAAAAAAAGAAACAAGTTTTTGAGAAAAAGGTGGAACCGTATATTGTATTTTTCCATATGTTATTTGCCTTCAAGCGATTCATGGTTTTACTGTATGTATATCGTCGCTTCTAGCATTGGTATTATTTAAACAGGTATTTTCCGAAATACTTTTCTTTTCTATCACGAACAAAAATTGAAAAGCAAAACACGTCGATTATACTGTGTACTTACAAATTTCTATGTCCCAATCTGCAACGAATCAACGGCGAGTTGCAGCGAATGCTTAACAATATTCCTTTCCGTCAAAGAGTTCTTTAATCACAAGTAATCTCTTACCTTTTTTTTATTTATTTAAAAAATGACAATATCTGTGTAATATACATATATATATGTTCAAGTAGAAATTAGGCATGCTTTTATCGAGATTTGTCTTTTCCTCGAGACTCGTGTTATGTCGAATCGATCAAAATACTCCGATTTATTTCTCGATTTAATCGTTTGTCGTCGTTTCTCACATTGTATACAAATTTCTCTAAATCTGCATGCTAAA